ACTGCATGCTAGGGCCAGCAAAGGCCCCCTTAATCAATCAAAATTCCACCTCTTCGGTAGCTGATTGGCCTTGAAGAAGTCATTGAAAGGCTTTCAAACTTAAAGATGCCAAGAGGACACCGTGCCCTCCATCATTGTCTTCCTCTGTGGCCTCTTTTGGGCAGTGCCAGTTTCATTTCATACCTGTGCTCCTTCACTGGACCCCTTCTTACCCTTAAGAACAAACACCCAGTACCCCCTTTCCTTAAATCAGGGCCCCCCAAGTTTGTCAGCAGAGGATGCAACTTCATGCCTGTGCTCCTTCACTGGACCCCTTCTTCCCTTAAAAAACCCCAAAAAACCTAGTACCCCCTTTCCTTAAGCCAGGGCCCCCCAAGTTTGTCAGCAGAGGATGCAGACTTCAGATGGGGCTGGGCTTCTTTCCTGGGACCTGGCACCTTAACTGGGTTCAAATGTCTTTCCTTCCAATTGATTTCCCACTGATGAGTTGCCTTGAGCCCAGGGCCTCTGGAGCAAGGAAAAAAAAAAAGTCCCCAGACATTCCAAGTTGTCACGGGACAAAATCTTGCTGGAGGCCCACCTTCACTTCCATTCACCTATGGGAAGCCGGGCAGAGGCAGTAGCCCCGCCCATTCCCACAGCCAATCAGCGCGGCCGAAAGAAGGAGTCAGGCTCTGTTCCGAAGGCACTTCTTGATTGGACCCAACAGGGGCCTGCTGATTCTGCAGAACTTAGGCAACTTGCAAAGCTTATTTTTGTTTCTCAAACATCCTAGGGGCTGGAGTGAGGACCATCATTGGAAACCTAATCCCGCGTCCCCAGGCACCGCTCTGTCGTAGGGGACTCAGGGACACAGACCTTGCTCTGGGAGAGCCACTGCTGAGTAGGCCTTCGGAGGAGGATGTGTCTAGGGGCCGGGAGAAAAGAAAAGACTAATTCTGGAGACATTTGCCCCAGAGTGCACAGTATTAACCCTTCCAGACTTCCCTGGTGGCAAAGCGCGTTTGATAACACGTCCGAGTCAGCAGAGGTGTCAGCCTGTAAGAACGCCCAGACCTTCTTAGGGAGAATGGGAAGGACAGCTGCCTATCTGGAAAGGTCTAGATGCCAGTCTCACCTCAGAGGCACTTGGTGCCCAGACGTCAGTGGTCTTTCTGGCCTGAGTAGGTGCTCCAATGCCCTTCTCTGAGGCTTTTTACCAAAGAAGAAACAGAAGGCGTCCTTTGGCCGGGCTGCGCGGAGAGGGGAGGACAGGGGAGAAGCTGTCAAGTTCGGGGACAGGGCCTTTGCAGCAGGGGGACTCTGGACTTTCGCTGCTTACAGATCAGGAGAAGCTGTTAGCCCTTCTCAGAAATGACATGTGGATTTGGGGCAAGGAAGGAAGGAAAGAAAGAAAACACAAACGTTCTGTAACTGGTGGTTCTTGGAGCATTGCCTTGATCTGAGAGACGCTGAGCAGAGTCAAGGGCTATGAAACCCACGTTCTCATGAATTCATGGAATGTGAGGAATGGCGTCCCAAGATCTATAGATCAACCAGCTGGAAATGGTCCCCAGGCTAAAGTTAAAGTGACTGGAAAACTGACTCCAGAAAACCAGTTCTTCCTGACTTCTAAGGCAGGTGCAACCCTGGACAGCCTAGGCCCCCTGAGAAGTTATCTTTTTGTTACAGGATGGGCTGTGATGGCATATCTCTTTAAATGCCTGTTAAAGACGATGGTATTTACTACATTTGAACTTTCTTTTTTGTGATGATTTTGAAACTCAGTATGGACAGTGCCACATGTGTGATGTTTGGTGGCAAATATTAAAGAGACTGGATAATAATAAATAGCTGTAGAAATCAACATTGCTGTTAACCCCCCGAACCACTTCAAATTTCTGGGTGAGATAATCTGAGATAACAAAGATTCCACTGAGCCTAATAACTCCATCGTGACTTATTTATTACACCATAGTGAATATTTGTTAAATAAAATTAGGTAAGGTGAGTGACACAGTAAGACCAGTAGTTCTTCAGAGCTCTAGCCACTTTTCAGTTGCAGAAAGCATTTTCCAGAATACAACACTTAAGAAATGTAAGATAAATACCACTTATATAAGGTATTGAAAGTAGTCAAACTCTTAGAAACAAAACGTGGAATGGTAGTCGCCAGGGGCTGGGGGGACAGGAAAAGGGGAGTTATCGTTCCATAGATACCATCTTTTCAGGATGAAAAAGTTCGAGAGATCTGTCACAGAACAATGTGCATATAGTTAATTTTTAACATCTCCCTACAGTTAAAAATGGTTCGGATGGTTAATTTGTGTGGTGGTTTTTTGTCTTTATTTACTATAATAAAAAAAGTAAGACATCAAAAAGGGTTAGGAAAGTAAGGGGTGCCATGTAAAGTCATTTAATAAGCATTTGATCTTAGATCAGTTTACCTGTGGAAATACCTTCTGACTGACCGCTTATGTGATTCTCTTTCAGCTAGAGTCAAGGGGAGGTAAGAGAGCAATGACAGCACATAGACATTTTGCAAAGTCTCTTGAGTGACACCAGACGTAGCCGTGAGGATGCCAACTATGGAGGAAACTTCCAGAATTTCTAGCTCCTCAAATTTCCACTACAAACATCACACCCCAAACTGTTCCGTTTACGAGTAAATGTGACACATTGTGACTCAGTTGTGACTGTGGTGTGTACAGTGTGGCATTAATGAGGCAAATGGAAGATTTCGTTTCTGTCCAGTCTTCTACTTTCTGTGCATTGGGCAGAGAGGCGGGTTTTGGGGTGGCGGTCATGAGTGTAACATTTGATTTTGGATGTAAATGAAGTCATGGTTATAAAATTTTCTGTGGGTAAACAACTAATTTGTATTCAGACTAAAATAATGTTGAAGTATCTAGTTACTGAAAATGAAATATCTACTTGTCTTTAAAATAGCTCATGACTTTTCTTTTTCTATTTTTTCAATCCTGTATTGCCACACAAACATGGACCCGAATTCATGAATACAGAAGGGCCTTTACTATTTTGTTACAGGGCGAATGAACCACCGCTGGTTGCTCTCCCTGGTCTGGGAATCATCCTCCCACTCACGGACCCCCCGACTTGGAGCAGCCATGCATAGCATGACAGGGTAACCAGGGGACCACCTTTCCAGCAGGTGACTGAAAGCTCCCAGACCCCCTTCCGATGGAGTGGCATCCCAGCATAGGATGCAAGACTGGTGGTCAGGGTAGTTATTGTACAGTGTCTAGCGGCTGAGGCCTCTACTAACCCCCTTCAAATCTCACATCAAGGAGAAGTACAGTGAAGGTATATTGTGAGGCTAACCTGCCTGTGGGCAGTCCCACCCCTGTCTCTACTTTGATCTTTGTTTTCATCAGACAGTGATAATCAAAGGAGGCCGAAAGCCAGGGTGCTCAGGGTACGATGCGGGCGGCCGAGATAGTGTGCAAATGTCAACCCCAGGGCACCGGGAGCGGCTTCAAGAAATGGGGGCAAAGAGAATCAGAATCAAGCCCAAGAGAGAGCTGCAGAGACACAAACTAAACTTAAAAAAGAGACTAGGAGAGCATGTGAAAGAGAACCGATATTTTCAGGAAGAGGAAAAATGAGCAAAAAAAGCGTTTGTCCTCAGTGTGCATTTGAGGGCGGTAAATGAGCAGTGCCATCAGAGAACAAGAAGGAGGGGGCGTGAGTTATTATCTTCTGCGTCTGAGACCATCAGGATGCAAAGCTATGTTTTTCTCTGGTACCTCCTTCCTGCATTCTAGTACCTCTCCAAACAGACCACGCAGCTCGGGCTGCTAGGCAACGCGCACATGTTCAACGATTTTAAAGAAGTCCAGACCAGCTTTTGTGATCATCAAATGACAATTGTTAAATACCCATTTCAAAATCAAATTTAGCCCAACGAATCCTCACTCATTCAAAGATCAGACTACTTGGACGTTAGCCTCCAGGACCAGGCTGTAAACCTGGGGGGTGAGGGGGGGGCAGAGCGATCTCTGAGCGAGTGGGGACTCTTTCCTGGAACCCAGGCGCTTCGCTCAGCAGAGGCCTTCAGCTAGTAACTCTTAGTGCAGGGGAATAACAAGCCTAGCCATCCGATTTTTAGTGGATGTAAGCTACGGAAGAACAAAATGCAAAAAGCAAGTGATGCTGGTCACAGAGAAAAGCGCACTCTTCTCGCCTGACAGCGAGGAAGGCAGCAGAAGAGCTCACCCCGAGACAGAATTAGCCAAGCCTGGGACCTGCCGGGCTGGCACAGTAGTCAGGCAGGCCTCGCGGGTCCCGGTGCACTGTCCCACAGTTAGATAAATGACTGGAAATGTCAGGAGTCGAAGAACCTTAGAGATTAAGTTATCCAACTCCTTCCTTCGGATGTTTCAGAGCTACTAAATAAAAGCTGAAGGCATTCCATCTGCGTAGTTTCAAAAGGTATCAAGTCAATATCGCTAACATGAAAAACTGGCCTGGAAAGGGTAAAATTCTGTCGTCTGAAAATCAGTTGTATTTGGAGCACCGAGTCTCTGATGATGCTAAGTGATCTGAGTGAGGACAGAACAGCGAGGCCGCGGGGCCCCCTCTTTGCTGGCATGACCTCTCTGCATTAGCGTGGCTTCCCTGTTCAGAAGACAAGGCATTGCCTGTTTGTAGTAGACCAGCCCTCACATAAGAAGAGTCAAGACATACAGGTCAGACAATTACCAGTTTTCTAACTCATTCTTCTCGGCGACTTTTAGAAAAATTGAAGAGCCTATCCTTGGCTAACAAAGTACTTACTCGGCTGTTGCTCTAGCTTTGTTGTATCTTACTACAGAGCCTTCAGAAAAATGTGCATTTAACCCAGCACCCTGATTTCTTAGGACCAAAGAACTCTGTCCCCCATATCCCACCATGCTCAAACCTCTATGATGTCTGCTCCAGCTCTGTCCTCCCTCGTGGGGGTTTGTGGCAGTCACTCAGCGCGGAAGCCGCTCTTAGACTGCATGTCACAGGCAGACCGCTCGGCCTCTGGAGGCACCTTGAATGACCACTCCAGCCCTTTCTTCCGGCCCAGGTCACCTTATGACATGAATCAGATGTGCCTGTCAGGAAGCTACCACGGGGAAAGAGCATGGGGCTGAATTATTTTATCTCTGCTACTCTGAGCTGGTGGCATGTGTTTTGCTGCTGGCCTCTATAAGTGGTGTAGAGAATGAAGAATTTCTGGATTACTGTGTGTGCTGGGCCCTGCTCCGAGGTCCTGGTGTGGGCCTGCCTCTCAGGCAGACACTCTGGAGCCTGAGGACCGCATCAGGTCACGCCTCAGGGCCTGGAAAAGGCTGAGGAGGGACTGGGCCCAGATGTCCTTCTGATGCCCTTGGGACAGGGCTGTGCGGTAGGCCGCGTAGGCCAGGGTCAGCGCTGTCCTTTCAAAGTCCTCTTTCTTCAGGATGCCGGGGAGGCTGGCGAGGCTGGCGCTGAGCCGTCGGATGTCCGGGATGCGCTTGGGGATCACATCATTGCAGACGGTGCGGAAGTCAGAGGCCTTCCTGAGGGAGGCAAGCTCCTCATCCTTGATGGAGATCTGCAGGTCGGGGCCGATGTCCAGCTCAGCTAGCAGGAGCTGGTGAGACATGGGGTATGGAAACACATGAAGCCCTGGGCATTGTGGAGGACACCACTGTTCTCATCCTCACCTGCCTTCCTTGGGGGAGGCGGCTGTGGAAAGAGCGTTGGAATCCAGGAGACCTGGGTTCCAGTTCTGACATTCCCACCGACTTGGGTGACTTACTGCACGTCCCTGAGCCTCACTTTCCTCCTCTGTGAAATGGTTAGCAGCAAAAATACTCTACAGGGCTGTTGTGGGAAGTAAATAAGACAATTATGGACACCCTGGGACAAACATTGTCCCTGGTACAAAGCCACTATTTAATGACTATTTATTATTTTTGGTTTCCCAGATTAACCCATTCTTCCCTTTCTCCCTCCCACCCACCGAAGATTTTCTAAGTCATGAGCTATTTCTGATAATTTTAAATCAGAAGCTGGGGATTGAAGGACACAGAGAACGGTGCTAGGACTTAAGTGGGACACAGAGGTTTGTCCTCAATTCTCACCCGTTCTTTGTGATTGGGGGTGGGACCTGCTGCATGCATCCCTTGCTCAGTGCTGGACTCACATCAGGACCCAGTAAACACCCCTTGGACTCGGGGTTCTAACTTGTGTCTGCTTCCAGCTTCCCCGCTCCACCCATCTCCACGCTCCTGTCTTTCTCAAAGGGACCTGTGATATGACTCCCACGTTCAGGACTCGGTGAAGGCTATGCATTTCCCAGTGAGTTCCCCGTGGTAGGACCTGCCTGCAGCAGGCTGTCTCTTTCTTAGCCGGAGAGTTCTGGAACATGGAGGATGCCAGAGGATGTCAAGGCAGGAGGGGAGTTTTGGAGATCACTGTCTCCCTCATTTAACATTTGAGGAGATCCGGGCCCAGAGACACGGTGGCTGCTGCAAGGTCACATGGCTGATGAGTGGCAGGACCAGAACTAAAGCTCAGACCTTGAGCCTGGAATTTTATCGCTGAATTGGATCAAGGGGCCTTTGGGAAATGCACCTGTGGTTTGGAGAAGCGGGTCTGAGTGGTGGAGATGCGGGCAGAGGAAGAGATCCTTTGGGGTGCCGAGATGGTCAGAAACTGGGCAGTTACCTGAGACAGAGCTCCACCAGGCAAACGGCTTGGCATTGCCTGAACCCTATGATGAGTCCTGCCTCCTGGCATTTGCTCGAGACTATTGACTCTGCTGCTAGGGTGCTGGGAGTGGCACCTGGGGCCCAACCTAAATCCCTAATGTTGCCCCTAGTGATCTCCTAATGCCATCTCTCCCTGTTTGGCATGTGGGAAAGGAGAGGCGATGTGAGGAATACCTTACTCTGGATGGCCACGATTTGATGGCCCCACAAAGGAGTCCAGGCCAGTCCCTAAGGCAGCCAGGGCCACTCATTCTCAGGGACTCAGGTCATTCCTCCAACAAACAGAAAAGTTGCAACGCCTTCGGGGTGATGTGGCCACTTGCGCCTCTGCCTACCTCGTAGAGCAGTTCTACTTCCTCCAGGGAGCTCTGCAGGACGGGGTTCAAGGGTATTGAGGACGATCTCTTCGGCCGATGGGCAGCTGGGAACAGCACGGCTGCAAGAAACAAAAGCAGAGGCTCCAGCAGCTGTGCACTTGGCCCTCCCCTCTGTAACCTTGAGGTCAGCCAGCCCGCCTTGAACGTGATGGACTGGAAGCTGTGGTGGTCAGTGAGCGGGAGAGATGACAGGCAGCTCTGATGTGTCCCGGAAGCTCCCAGGCATGTCAGATGTTCCTGTTTCAGACCAGTGATTTCAGACATGGCTGCTTATCAGAACCATCCCAGAAAGCTTGGAAAAATATGGGTGTCCCCAAAAATGTGTACACACACTCTGAATAATTACAAAGGCAGTGTTCATTAAAATACATTTCATTTTCAAAGTTGAGCTATCAGCTGTTAAAGTATGTATCCATTTTTCGGACACCCTGTATGTAGTGTACAGGGGTGGGCAAAAGTAGGTTTATGGTTGTTTGTGTGGAGAAAGACATGCAGGTCATGATGATTATTGTTTATTTTTAAATAAACATTTTATTTTTATTTATTTTTAAATATATTTTTATTGACTTCAGATAGGAAGGGAGAGGGAGAGATAAACACCAGTGATGAGAGAGAATCATTGATTGGCTGCCTCCTGCACGCCCCCTACTGGGGATCGAGACCACAACCAGGCATGTGCCCTTGACTGGAATCGAACCTGGGACACTTCAGTCCACAGGCCTGCACTCCATCCACTGAGCCAAACTGGCTAGGGCAGGTCCTGATTATTGCAATAGCTTTTTTAACTCTGTGTTTCAAGTACTCACAACTGTAAACCTACTTTTGCCTATCCTATATGTCAAGGGAACTTATGTTAAAATCAAACAGAAATGAGCAAACAACAAACCTCTACACATGGAACAAATGAGTCCCCTAATAATACTGTTCTCTAATGGTAATGCACATTGTAGCATCTGATCAGTATGAAGTGCTGGTTTCTATTTATTGAGAACACTTTTCATCAGAGGATCAGGCTTCTGCTATTCCCCCGCCGTCTGAAGTACAGCTGCCAAGAATCTGGACACAGGTGACAAAGGAAAGGGAGAGAGCTGCCCAAGACCCTGACAGGTGGCTCTAGGGGAGTGTGGAGCCAGGCTTAGGCTTCCTCCCAAGGATCCGCTGACTTGGAAATGCATTTGGGACAAAGTCAATGACTCACTAATGCTGTTTCTTTGTGGTTGCGTTTGGAAACAGTAGCTGGAGGAAGATGGATGGGCTGCTATGGGTAGAGAGTAGGGAGAACTAAGACCTTATGAGGCCAAGTGAAAGAAGAGACAGAATGTTACAGAGTGTAGGAATAATCATTATACATTGCAGTTCTCTGGGTCGTATCAGAGCAGACAGTCATGCCTACCCCCACAGCCCCATGATTGCCAAGCCTGCTGCCAGCTGATAGAAAAAGGCACAGCTTCTTGCACCTAAGGTAACTGGGACCAGGGTGATGTCAAATATTAAATCACTAGTGGCCTGGTGCACAAAATTTGTGAGGGGGGGGGTGTCCCTCAGCCCAGCCTGCACCCTCTCCAATCTGGGATCCCTCAGGGGATGTCTGACTGCCTGTGGGATCAGGCCTAAACTGGCAGTCAGACATCCCTCTCGCAATCTGGGACTTACTGGTCTGCTTACCTCCAAAGGCCCCGCCCCCCTACCAGCCTGGCCACCCACAACTGCCCTGCCCTCTTGGCCTCTAACCACCTCTACCTCAGCCCTGTCACCATGGCTTTGTCCAGAAGAATATCCGGAAGGTCTCCTGGAAGGTCTCCCAGTCTAATTAGCATATTACCCTTTTATTAGTATAGAGGCCTGGTGCACAGGTGGGGGCCGGCTGGTTTGCCCTGAAGGGTGTCCCAGATCAGGGTGGAGGTTCTCTTGGGGGGTAGGGTAGCCTGGGCAAGGGGCCTGTGGTGTTTTGCAGGCCGGCCATGCCCCCACTGGGGTGGGGGTCCCAACTGGGGACAGTGCTGGCCTGGGCGAGGGGCTGGGGAAGTTTGCAGGCCAGCCACGCCCCCATGGAGTGAGGGTCCCTGCTGGGGGGGGCGTGGCCAGCCTGGGTGAGGGGCTGAGGGCCATTTGCAGGCCCCTCCCTTGGCAGCTGACCTGGGCAACCCAAGCCTCTCACTTGCTCTGGCCTGCTCCGTGGCCACTGCTCACAGACCCCTCCTTCCGTGACCGGCCCAGGCAGGTGGGAAGCTTGATTTCCTTTGTTGCCGGGCGTGACCCAAGCCTCCTGCCCACTCCGGCTGGCTCCATGGCCACCACCATCTTTGTCCCATTAATTTGCATATTCCCACCTGATTGGCTGTGGGGTGTTGCAGAGGCACGGTCAATTTACATATTTGTCTATTATTAGTGTAGATTAGCCAGATCCCCTTAATCTTAGATGACTCTTCTTTCTGCTGCAGTGTGCTGCCACCAAAATAACTATTCAAGCCCTGACTGGGCTCAAACCACCAACACAGCAATTAAAAACAAGACATAAATAATTGCATAGAGAGATTTTGGTTAAATCTCATATTACAGAAGATGCTCCCAAATGCATAAATGAGGAAGTAAGATTCTCTATATGGCTTGGTACCTTGAATCCAGGAGCAGTAAATGGACACATTGTACCACTTGAGGAGTTTATATCTGGGAAGCACTTAAACTAAATCATGTCATTTTTAAAAAAGAAAGAAAAAGGTACAGCTTCTCCAAGACACTGGGTTGTGATCTCCCAGAAAACTGGGCAACTAACTGTAAAGAACCTGAGGCTCCCAGGTAAGGAGCGCCCCCTAAAGTTGGGCAAAGCAATTTGCCTCGCCATGCATGCCAGCTCTGCTTCTTGATACTGGTGTCCTGGGACCATCGAGAACGGGCCCACTGACATCCAGGGTACTGTGTTAAAGAAGGCAGGGGGCTGCATAAGCATCTTAGAAAAAATTGACCTGAAGTAATAAACATGAAACATCTTTGATATAAAGACATTTCCTGAAAAGCTCACTGGTAGGAATCTCCACTCCCTGGAAAGAGCTGGTTGGTGGAGTATTGCTGTAAGATTGCTTTCTCTGTACTCATTTATTATCTATACCGCGAGTTCCTCTTGGGTTAGGATAAAGATGGTTGTAGGGTTCTGCCTCCAGCAGGTCCTGGCAGGCTTCCAGGCTGAGTGCTAGGCGCCGCTGTTGGCTGACGAAATCCATGCCCTGGGGGAGCCTTGCCCGGCAGTGACCTCTGCTCCCTCAGACCACTGTGGGAAGGAGCTATGACTGGAGTAGTATTTCCTAGCCTCGCATTTTAGCAGAATTTGTTCTCGTTGCCAGAAAACTGGCCATTTCCTCACAGAATCAGAGATTTGGGGCTTCGCCTCTGTTCGCTCACTGCCTCTGCCTGTAGTTTTAGGAGTGGCTCAGGAGAGTGAGGCGGCTCCTAGGCATCGGGTCCAAAACCTTGACCGCACATTAGCATCGAGCAAGGGCTTTAAAAACTACTGTGCCGGCCCTCACTGGTTTGGCTCAGGGGATAGCGCGTCGGTCTGCGGTCTGAAAGGTTCCAGGTTCAATTCCAATCAAGGGCATGTACCTCGGTCACAGGCTCCTCCCTGGCCCTGCCAATCAATGTGTTTCTCCCACTTCTCTATTTCTATCCTTCCCTCTCCCTTCCTCTCTCTCTAAAAATCAATGGAAAAATATTCTGGGGTGAGGATTAAAAAATAATAAAATACTGGTGTCCTGTCCCTGCTTCATAGGTTCTGATTTAGTCAAATGAGGGGGGAACTGGGACAGTAGATTTTTGGCAGCTTCCTAGAGGCTCCTAATGGCAGCCAAGGCTGGGAACCAGCAGGTGCTTGCCCGAGGCTGTATAGACGGTGGTGCCTCGGCCAGATGGCCACTCTGAGGTGAGCCCAGTGGCTCTCAACCTTGACTGTACATTAGAATCACCTGGGAGTTTTTAAAAACTCAAATGCCACATCCACCTCTCAGGCCCTTTCACGGTGTCTCTGGGGTGGATGTAGGCATCAGGACTGTTTATGGCTCCCAGGTGGTTATAACGGGCAGGCCGGGTTGATGACCATTGGGCTGTCCAGATCCACAGCCAAGAACACGGCGCCAAAATGCAAAGTTCACTCCCATCGGAGGCCTTGCAGGCTCATCTGAAGAGATGGAGGCAAAGTAGAGACGCGAGAGGGCGTGTGCTCCGACTGCGCTTTCTCGTTGGCGGGAGACGACACCAGGACCAGAGCTGGTCCAAGACCAAGATGTGACCTGTTTCTGGGCGCTCCTCCCACGAAGGTGTGAGGAGCCCTCTTCTTGGGATAGGATCTGAGAGCAACTTTACTTCTTTCATTCTTCTCCCAGCCTTTCTCTTACTGCGACATTAAAGGGATTGGGTGCCTTAAAGGCATTCTCACCCGGCAGGTGAAGGGGACAGGAGGGGACGGGTGTCCCGGGCACGGGCACGGAGCCTTTCTGCTGCCTGTCACAGACTTGGGGGCTGCCTCTGGGGAGGTTATTCACCGGCTAGACCTGCCTTTCTTCACTCATTCGTTTCCCTGGGACAGCAACACTCCAACATGCTCACCCAGGGCCCCCTCGTCCTCAAGAGGTGGGAAGGAAATACCTCCTGATTCAAAGCGGAGGTTCATCATGGAAGCGTTGTTCTCATCCTTTCAAAAATAATGACAGAGTTTGGGAAAGATTGTGAGAAATAACTTCAGCCTCTACACCAGCCAGGGGATGGACGATTGCTTCTGGAAGTGTGTGGGGAGCACAGGAATGTGAAAAGGGGGGGCTCCGCCCTCCTCCCACCCCCAGCCAGTGCCCCTGCCTCCTGCAGGCACCCCTGGCATTGCTGCAGGTGCAGTGAGCTGGGGGGCATCTCAGCGCCGCCCGGGCCTCCCTCCTCAGGAATGAGACAGGATACCTTCCTCTCCACTGGACTCGCTGCAGCCTGTGTCTGCTCCATGTCCCAACGTCCAGGTACAATGTTAACCTTCAGTCACTCCAGGTGGTTTTGCCCATAAAGGGGAAGTCTGGACCCTGCC